CCTTCCTTCCCTCCTTCCTTCCTTCCCTCCTTCCTTCCTTCCCTCCTTCCTTCCTTCCTTCCCTCCTTCCCTCCTTCCTTCCCTCCTTCCTCCGCCTTTTTCTCCGATTCTGCGAGGAATCGAGGGAGTTTGTAGCCGCCTCCCCGTTCGCCAGAGACTCCTTTCTTGCCACGACCCTCTGCGGACTCGTTTGGCTCCAATTGCCGCATCTCTGCCTTAGTCCTTGGGCTTCGCGGGGTAAACCGGAGGCTTCGGAGCCCCGAAGCAGGCTGGCAAGCGCATAGAAACGAAGGGTTCTGACGCTGCAGGTAAAGCTAACACGCAACCCGCGGCAATCTATTTGTTCATATTTGTAGTGGGGAGGGCGAGAGAGAATGACAGACTTTCCTTTGCAGTTTTTATTTTTTTTAATGGTCCATATTTGGAAAAAAAATCAAAAGCAAAGAAAAAATACAGAGAAAAAAGGAAAACGGGAAGTCAAGAACGGTCAAGCTTAGGAGTCCCGAACTTTCACTTTTGTTGAAGGTTCTTATTTTCCTCTGGTAGTTTTCTTCGAAATAAATCCAAATAGGCAGCAAACAATAAGGGAAGGCATTTTAAATATGAAAGAACTGAGCAGAAAGAAAGAAGGGGAGAAATATCCCTATCATTCTATTATAGAAGTCTGTTTATATATGAATGAATATATGTATTCTAAATGTTATTCCTTCGTGTTGTACACAGCTTTGTAAATAAATTTTTAAAATGGCACTTTTGGTGTTTACTTTCCAGTTAGTATGTCATATGAAAGAGAGAGTTATGGAAACAATTTTGCTCCATTGGGAAAATTCTGTAGTCATTCAGCTAGATGAGAATAAAAAAATCAATGGAATTTACATGTGAGAAACAATTTTTCTCTTAAAAAATACAGCAGATCAAAAATTCTAATCCCTTAAGAAGCAAGAAGATTTCTCCCAAAGATCATCCTTAAGATTTTCCATTAATCTATTTCTAAATCTAGATATATCTCACAACAGTCTTCTCTAAAATACTTATAAAACTGCCACTGACTGGATCACACTTATAGACAAATTATTTGGATATTATATAAATACAGTACTAAGATACCAAGTTGGTAAAGTAACTTCCAGAAATAATAAAGAAATATGATTGGGACAATTTGCTGAAATCAGATGATCTGGTGGTAAAAGCAGCCAATTAATTCTGGAGAGAGAGAGAGAGAGAGAGAGAGAGAGAGAGAGAG